CTCATGATCGTCTCTCTGTTAGCTTTTGCTTCCATCTCATGGGCATTTACTGCCTCTTCAAGAGTAACCACTTGTCCTCTCAGAGATGCATTTTCCTCGCACAGCTTTCTAACCTGAGCACAAAGTAATTATAACTAAAACATTAACACTTTCCTCTGTCTGCGCCACTCAGTCCATAGCCTGGTAGTAGAGCCTATTCTGATAAAAAATATTAAAATCATATCCCTCCATAGATCCAAGCAAAGGCAATCTTGAAACTCAGCTTGTTAGGGGCTGACTCAGTGATTAACTAAAAATTATGCACCAGGTAGACACAGGACAAGGATGATAGGAAGGAAGTTGAAGCTCCCAGAGAAAGCAACAGCCACAAGCATCAGAAAGCATGGGGAAGCACTGGAGGTGGCAGGACTGTGGAAGGAGGTGAGAACCAGCCGTGGAGCAGAAGCCTCACTCAGCCCTTCCATTCCCACCTGCTCCCGCTGCATGTGCGGAGCTATTGGCATGGTGACATGCAGAGAACACAAGACTGCTTATCAAAGGTAGCCTAAAACAAGCCGTTCACTGGTGGCTGGTACCCGTAATCCTAGCTACTCAGGGGGCGGAGATCTGAGGATCAACGGTTTGAAGTCTATGAGACTCTTACCTCCAATGAAACAGAAAAAAAGCTAGAAGTAAAACTGTGGCTCAAGTGGTAGAATGCCAGCTTTGAGCAAAAAATGCTAAGAAACAGTGCTTGGGTTCTGATTTCAAGACCCAATACTGGCACATAAAATACTTAAAGCACACATAGATACATAAACAGACAGACAGGCAGGCAGGCAGGCAGGCAGGCAGGCAGATGAAAACAAACAGAAAAATCCTGGATACTTACATTGAGGGCTAAGATTATCAGGGCATTTTGCTTCCGGTGTTATGTATTAGAATTATCCACTGGGCACATTTATAAGATTCTCAGGGAAAAACAATAAATATAGGGAGACTCCTAATCTTATCCTTATATTAATAAATATTCCTCAAACAACACATTCCTGATTTTGTGATTGCATTTGGAACTAACAGGGGAAAAAAATGTCCCAAAGACACATTAAGATTAATTCTTAGCCTGGCACTGGTGGCTCATGCCTATAATCCGAGCTACTCTGGAGGCTGGGCAGGAAAGGCTGTGAGATTCTTATCTCCAATTAACAACCAGAAAACTGGAAGTGGAGCTCAAAGTAGGAGACTGCTAGCCTTGAGAAAAAAAAAAAAAAGCTCAAGGATAGTATCAAGGCCCTGAGTTCAAGCCCCATGACAAAAAAAATACTATTAACCAATAAACAAATGCATATGGCAATGTAAATATATCTTAGGCAAAGTAAGTAAATACTTGGAGAGTGATCTCAAATAACACTTATGAGGGACGTTGGAAGTAAAGCTCAGAGCGGGTGTGGATACTTCCTGCAGGGAATGTGTGCTGTCCTTAGGTACTATCCCAGCCTCCTGCCACCCCTAGCCCCAGCACAGCACTTCTTTTCCTGTCAGAACCGTGTATTGATCATCTCTTTCATCTTCATGCAAACACCTTGGAAATGAAATCTTTCAGTGTCTCCTCGCGCGTCCTCTCGGGATCCAAGCAATCACCAAGTTGAGTTAGAAATTCCTCGTGTCTCCTGAAGTTCTCTGAGGCTTCTTTCTTAGTCTCATCTTTTTCCATTGAACACTTCCTAACAAGCAAATAATACCGCAGAAGTCAGAACTTCAGCAATTTGTGGGAAATCATTGTCATTTTCAATACAATAGTTTCCCAAACCCAGTGCAAATTATTGTCAGCCAAGCCCTGCTAGGAAGGGAGAAATGCAGAAGCAATTTTCTGCCTTCTTCAGGAACCCTCAAGGCACCTTAGACTTAGTAACAGGAGGGGAGATGTAGGCTCAGTGGCAGAGGAGAAGGGTTTCTAGACTATGTACAGATAGATAGATAGATAGATAGATAGATAGATAGATAGATAGATAGATAGATAGATAGATAGATAGATAGATAGATAAAAAGAAAAGCTAAATGCATGTTTATGTTGTCACAGTTATCACTGCACATAATATGTTTTATTGTACTGGGGTTTGAACTCAGGGCCTCATACTTGATAGACTGGCACTGTCCTATTGAAGACTCTGGTAACATTTACCTATCATCTGTCTGTCTATCATCTACTATGGTCTATCTATAAATAAAGCATTATGGAACCAAAAAAAAAAAAAGAGAAAGAAATGTACTCATTACCTGACTTACGAAATGGTAACATCTCTGTATATCACCTTTCTAATAACAATAAAAAATTAATCATAAAAAAAGAAAACCCAAAAACAAAGAACCAATATATTCCTGAGTTCCTGTTTTTAGCAAATGGAAGGTAATATTCACTCAGCGTCTTGGGCACAATGAATGCTATTGCTCTTGTTGGTTTGTTTATATCATTCAGACATTAACCCTAGGATTGCAAGCTTATGTCTCCATTTCAAAGGTCTCTAAACTACACTCACTTCTATTTATATTTCATCTGACCCAATAAAGTTTCAGGAATCTGCCCATAACCACATAAATGTACCTCCTGTCAAGCCCTACCACCTGCCATCTGTATGCACGTGTGTACACACACATACACACACACACACACACACACACGTGACAGTAAAGTCATATGTATTAATGAGATATATTTTAGAAGCAGGCAGCTCCCAATTTTGCCTCAGTGGTCATCTCTTTTCAGAACTAAGCATGGTAATCTAGGTTTCCTGAGATCTTTGCCTAAATTGGGCATCAAATCTAATGAGGAATGTTTGGGGTGGTCTGGCTTCCTGGTACTTTTATAACTAGCTTCTTAATAACTGCTTTCTTCTGTAGATTTCCGACCACCTCAGGGTTAAATCTCCATTTCCAAGAATGCACACTGCAATCCAGTTATGAATATCATCAGCATGGTGAGTGCTATAACCAAGCCTACGACAACAATCTGTTTGTTAAGATACTTGATGTTTAGAAAGAACTGAGGAAAATTGTTCAAGATTGCAAAGGTATTTGAGGCCAATAACTTTTTTTTCAGATTGGGTTTCAGGGCCAAATAGTACACAGCATTCAAAGCACATTCAAGGACAGAAACTAGTGGCTGTCAGAAATGAATGTGGCCACTAGGCTAAACTACGAAGCTTAATGGCGCCATACTTACTGTAATTGCTCCCCCAGTTCTGTGACTTTCTTCATTAGTCTCTTGCTCTCCTTGGTCGCAGTCTGAGCTGTGATTTCTATCCTGCTTTTAGAAGTGGAAAGTGCTGCTAACTCTTCCTCCAGCTCATGAACTCTGTCTCTCAACGAGGTGACAAGAGATGATTTCCTGGCATTGCTTTCTTTGTAGCTCTCCATCTCAGCCTTTAGTTCTTGACAGCAAACTTCTTTAGAAAGCATCTTAGAACGGAGGTCTCGAAGCTAATATGAAAAGGAATAGAAAGAGAAAGAAAGAAAATGGGTGTAACTGTGTACCATATAAGAAAGCTGAAACCATCTTACTTCTATACCCAATGCTGGTGGTTCGTGCCTACAATCCTAGCCATTCAGGTGGCTGAGATCTAAGGATCTCAGTTTGAATCCAGCCTTGGCAGGAAAGTCTATGGGACTCTTATCTCCAATTAACTACCAAAGAGCTGGAAGTGAAGCTGTGGTTTAAATGGTAGAGCACATTTCTTGAGTGATAAGTGTAGAAACAGTACCCAGGCCCTGAATTCAAGTCCCAATACTGGCGCACAAAAAAAAAGAAAAAGAAAAAAAATTCTCACTCTTTTCTTCATGACTTAATCCAGCTTCCTTTTCTTTTTCTCCCACTTGTATTTGTATAAGCAAATAGAAAATTGCATCTTTTTTGTCAGTTATGGAGCTAGAACTCAGGGACTAGGTGCTGTCCCTGAGCTTTTCCTGCTCAAGGCTAGTGCTCTACCACTTTGAGCCACAGTTCCACTTCTGGTTTTCTGGCGGTTCATTGGAGATAAGAGTCTCACAACCTTTCCAGCTGAGGTTGGCTTTGGACCAATCTTCAGATTTCAGCCTCCAGAGTAGCAAGGATTATAGGTGTGAGCCACCAGCAACTGGCCTAAAAAATTCCATCTTAATAACAGACTTCATACTCTTTTTCAAAACAAAATGAGCAATATCTTGGATCAACTCACAATACATGTGTGGGGACACTGCTCAAAGCCATACAGCCCTTTCCAGTGGTCACCAATTCTCTGTATTCTCATGTTGCTACTTTTACTGCTGAGAACCAGCAGTTCAAGGAATCAACAAGCCACATGGTTTGTGATTTGATATTCACAACCTTTCCCAAGTAAAGAAAGACTGTCCAGCCAATCACGTGCTCCCCTCACTTTCTAAGCCATCACTGTGAGCGAGAAGAAAACTAAACCCAGGCATGGCATGGGCGGCTCACGCTTGCAATCCTGGCTATTCAGGAGACTGAGATCACACACATATACACAGAGAATCAGCTCATCATTCAGCAGGTCCCAGCAGCCTCAGGGACAGTACTGGTCACCTCCCAGGCCAGTGTGGACTCCTCAGACCTCTGGGCAATCAGCCAATGCCTCTCAGGAGGCTCAAAGGGCCCATGGACCCCAACCTCTTTCCAGAATTTTCCCCGGCCAACAGAACTTCCCTAATGAAGGAATTCAGAATTCCCTTGTAAGAGCTCCAGACTTCGAGTGATCCACATTAAAGGAAGATATTCTAGAAGAAGCTGGAAATTTCTCCAGACAGCTTCCACAGAGGCCCTCAGGTGCCCCAGACTGTGCGAGGAGGCGGAGCTTCTGGAATGCAGGCCCACTGCCCGCTTCTACAGCGTGGCAAGGGCAGGCACGCCCCAGGAGAAGATCAGGGATAAACCTGAGGCGAAAATGTTTTTATCTGTATCCCACTATCTTGATTCCCAACTCTACATCCTGCTCACCCCCTTCTGATTGGCGAGTGTGGACTCTTACCTCAGACTGAGCGCATTCAAACTTGACCAAAGTGGCTGCAAGTTCGCTCTGAACATTTTCAGCCACATCCCAATAGCGGTTTAACTGCTCCCGGGTGACTGGGACTTCCAAAGAATGACCATAAGTGTCCTGGGGGAGATAACATTAAAGGGAATGGTAAACAAGTTTCTCTATACAGCTGCACAAACAAAGCCTAGACAGTTCCCTTTGTATTTCAATTATATCAAAAGTGCTACCCAAGACCTAGCATGATAGCTCATGCTTGTAATCTCAGCTACTTGGGAGCCAGATATTGTAAGGATCACAATTTGAGGCCAGCCCAGGCTAAAAGTTAGCAAGACCAACACGCTAGGTGGTATACACGGTAACCCCAATTTCATGGGAGGCATGGGTAGGAAGACTGTGTTCTGAGGCTGACCCAATCAAACGTGAAAGATCCTAGCTGGGCGCCGGTGGCTCACACCTGTAATCCTAGTGACTCAGGAGGCTGAGGTCTGAGGATCCCAGTCCCAAGCCAACTCCAAGCAAGAAATCCATGAGATTCTTGTCTCCAATGAATCACCAAAAAGTTAGAAGTGGAGTTGTGGCTCAAGTGGTAGAGGACTAGCCTTGAGCACAAAAGCTCAGAGACGATGCTCAGGCCCTGAATTCAAGCCCCAGGATTGGCACAGGAAGAAAAAAAAGTTCAAAAGGATGTAAAAGAAAATAACCCAAATAGACAGTAACCCAAAAGACCAGACGGACAAAGTCACATAGGAGGAAAGATGTATTGCCAGCAGAGCCAACAAGGCCAAGTTCTCATGAGAGGGGAGAGAAAATGGCACTGGCCCACCCCCTGGGCAACCCCTTTATACCATCGGGGGCTTGGGCTGTTTCACCTGAAGCTGGAGGCAGGAAGTGCCTTTCCAGTCCCTCCCACAGACAGTACTATGGAGGTGGAGGTCTCGGCCAGGCCTGCTACTCAGTGTGGGGGAGGGGCGCACAGCTCAGGGGCCCCACAGGTGCTGCTATTCAGACACTGCAATTGAGGTTCTGCTATTGAGGTGAGGGAGGGGCTCAGGGGCAGGAAAGGGCATTTGTCATCTTACAGGAGGCGGCCCAGGAACCAATGACGCGCTCACTCTAGACACTAGTGGGATCTGACATAGACAGACAATCATTGCCAGTCTGGGAAATATCACAAAACCCTGACTCGTGACAAAAATAAGAGGGTGGGGTGAGGCTCAGAGGTATGACTGAAAAACTAGATCCTTTCATTTTGAGACACCAATGGTCACAATTCTGGTGAGCTGACTGAGTCAGATTCAGGGGTTATTTAAGAGACCCTATCTCAACGAAGAGCTGAACACAGTGGCACATGCCTCTAGCTACAATGGAAAACCTAAAATACCCAGATAGCACACAGGGACAGAGCCAGGCAGAAAGTGAGGGCTTCTCCCCAAAACAGCCAGCGGGAGGAGAGGAGGGAGGGGAATAAAAATCAACGGAAGGCACCTCTCGGTAGTTAGAACTCCGGCTGGTAAGTGCAAGGCCCTGAGTTCAAACCTCAGTCTTAACCAAAATAAGAGTAAGTTGATAATTATAATAATAATTATAATCAAAACTCCATACCGGGAAGATCACTCCTATATTTGGAGGTAAGCCCTTGACCCACGGGGTAATGCCCATAAATTTTACTTTGTAAAGCTTCAGTTTTTGCCCTTGACAGCTCACTAAACTATTGCGGCAAAAGAAACACATGAGGCAGGCACCCACACCCGTGGGGCGAGATTGGGCGGGGGGGGGGGGGGCTGGTGGGTGGTCTTTGTGACAGTCCTGTAAGGAAAGCGTTGGTTTGAAGGAGATCACACGGAGGAGAATTTCCTGTTCCTCTCAGCAGCCCCCAGGGACACATCTGGTTCACGGGCAGAAACCTTTACATGACCAACTGCTCAACTGCTGCTTGACACACTCCTGAAGCAGCCTCACCAAGCCTACAACTTGACAACAAGGGTTGCTATGACTCGTGTGAGGCAATCCACAAAACCCCAAAGCAACTCTCCCGAGCGCTTAGGAATCACCAGCATTTGCCAGTCACAACATGTCCAAGGAGACGGCGGACAGCAGACAGCAGAACACGCACAGCCCAGGCCTCGGTGCGGAACGCCAGCCGGCCCTCCCCCCACAGGAGTCGCCACCACAGGCCCTGTCCCACGCACGGCCGGCCACTTGGGAAGCGTCTATCCTCATCTGTCATCAGGAAAATAGGCTTCCCAATCGCTGTGATCATTTCTTCCCCAATACCTTTCTTTAGGAAGTGATGTACTCGTATCATTATATCTCCTTCTAACAAAAACTACTGCAGCAGAGCGCTGGTGGCTCACACCTAGGAATCCTAGCTACTCAGGAGGCTGAGATCTGAGGATCAAGATTTGAAGCCAGCCAAGACAGGAAAGACTGCCTCCCAGTAACCAGCAAAATGCTAAACTGGAGGTGTGACTCAAGTGGAAGAATGCCAGTCATGAATGAAACACTGAGCAAGAGCACAGAGTTGAAGTCCCAGTACCAGCACGCACGTGCACTTGCACACATACAGAGATACACACACACACACACTTTAGATCCACAGTTTGATACTTGAGGTCATAAAACCCACAAAAGAGGAAGAACTCTACTGTACATATTTCCTAAAAACATATTCAGAAACAGAAAAAGAGGCCTGACAGAACATATTACTACTGGAGAAGAGTACTGACAGGATAGGGGTGCTAGTCTTAGATCTGGGGTACTCAGGTAATGATTCATTTTTTCCATAAAAATGTGCTTCTAGGTTATTGGTACAATTATATGTAAATTAGAGAAAGCATCAGTAACTGAGGTTACCTCTGGGTTGTAGGGGTACCCTTCATCATATTTCCAAACCCTTTACAATGACCATGTAATTTCATAACGACAAATAACATCCTCCCCTTAAATTTCAGAAAAGTGACAAAAACTGCCAGCCTGCCATGGGGTGCAGCTGCAAAGACCATCATGTGGGTGACAAAGAAATGACTGGAACTGACGCAGGCTGGAGTCTAGAAGCTGACACTGCGGAGAGCGGCTCTCCGTGAAGCCCTCCTGCAGCTCATAAAATCTGAGAAAATTCTTCAACTTTTCTTGTAAGTATTAAACAATCTTCACTTTCAAAAAAAAGAGATTGATTTTCTTACCCTATTAAAGATTCAGGAGTGCATCCATTCGCCCTCACATGAGCACAATCTAAGTGATTAGGTACCTTCATGCTAACCCATAAAGCAATTTTATATTAATTTCCCAGAACCAACTACCTATGATTCGATTCTGCTACTGATATTATTATGATAATGAGGGAAATTGCCTCCCAGGGCGGCTTACAGTCCTGACAGCATAAAGGATGGTTTCAAAGCTCGGTGGCATAAAGCAGAGATAAGCTTATTCATAATTTAGTACACAATGTGTGCCATTATCTGACCTGCGGACAATGTCTTGGGCCGGTCCTGCTACTGGGGTGTTTAGCTGTCTTATTATCCTATGGACAAAAAAGAAGTAGAAGAAAATCACTTCCCTGACACGCAAAAGCTCCCCAGCCATTCCGTGCTCAGCTTCCATCCCATAACTCACGTCTTCTTTGTTCCAGCATCATTCCTTGTAGGTATACAGCTCTATGCCTGCAGATGCTACCATCATCATCATCATCATCATCATCTCTCTCCCTCTCCCTCTCCCTCCCTCCCCCATCACATGGTACCCTATAAATATGCATACTTTAGTAGACAAAACTAGATTTAAACAAAATCAGACGAAAACTAGATTTAAACTTTTGAAAGTGACTTTTCTTTTCTTCTGTTTTGTGGTTTTGTTTCTCTTTTTGGTGGTACTTGGCCTCATACTTGCTAAGTAGGTGCTCTATCACTTGAGCCACTCTGTTAACCCCTCCTTGTGTATAGTTTATTTTAAAGATAAGATCTCGCCAGGCCCTGGTGACTCAGCCTAGGTACTCATGAGGCTGAGATCTGAGGATCGAGGTTCGAAGCCAACCAGGACAAGGAAGTCCTTGAGACTCTCATCTCCAATAAACTACTCAGAAAAAGCAAGAAGTGGCATTATGGTTTAAGTGGTAGAGTACTAGCCTTGAGCACAAAGAAGCTCAGGGACAGTGCCTATGGCCTGATTTGAAGCCCCAGGACAGGCAAACAAACAAATAGATAGGTAAATAAATAAGGTCTCACTTTATGTCTAGGTTGACCAGGACTTTAAGCCTTTTTGTTGTTGTTGTTGTTGTTGTTGGCCATGGGGCTTGAACTCTGGGCCTGGGTGCTGTCCCTCAGCTCTTCAGCTCAAGGCTAGCACTCTACCACTTGAGCCACGGCGCCACTTCCAGTTTTTCTGGTGGTTTATTGGAGATAAGAGTCTCATGGAGTTTCCTGCCCAGACTGGCTTTGAACCGCGATCCTCAGATCTCAGCCTCCTGAGTAGCTAGGATTACAGGCGTGAGCCACCCGTGCCCAGCTTGGATTTTGATTCTTATATTTGGGCTTCCTGATCCTTTAGGATAGCAGACATGCACTGGCATACCCAGCTGCTGGTCGAGATGGAGTTTCTAGAACTTTTTACTTGATTCCTTAAGTAAGTTAGTGATAATTGAGAACATGGGATTTGGGTTTGGGTTTTGTTTTGACAACTGGTTCTGGAAATTTTCTTTTCTTTTTTATCATCTTTAAGTATTTGTACAAAGGAGTTGCCATTTAACAAAGTAGTTTATGACTATAATGCATCTTGATCAAAGTCACGTCTGTCAACATTCTCACTCATTGTTCCCACCTTCTCCTTCCCTCACTTTTCTTCATTTTGTAGGATACACATTGAATCCATGACTGAACACATGTGTAAGAGTCCAACTTACTTGGCTCTAAGTTGCCACATACTATTCATTCTATATTAAGACAAGAAACTGAACACAGCTGGGCACCAGTGGCTCAAGCCTGTAGTCCTAGCTACCTATGAGGCTGAGATCTGAGGTTTGCAGTTCAAAGACTGTGAGACTGGAGAAAAGAATCTCCAGTTGACCAACAAAAAATTGTGTGACTGGTGATGTAGCTCAAGTGGTAGAACACCAGCCTTGAGCAAAAAGCAAAGTGAGATGTGAGGCCTTGATTTTGGTTACTACCACCACGTGCATGAGCAAGTACATGCACACACGCGCACGCACACACGCGCACACACACACACACACACAGAGCTGAATATTTTGCCTGTGAACGATTACTGCCTGCAGAAACAACAGGAAACCCTGAACTTGAACATCAGAAGAACTCAGACAAAGCAGAAAGCTGAACGCAGCAAAACTTGGCGTGTATTTGTTTTGACAATGTTTTGACTAGATTTGGGGACAGAAACTTCACTGAAAAAAAATGAACCAAATATAAATAATGCTGTAGCCAAAATATAAAGTGTCTTCAAGGTTTAAAACAGGAATTCAATCATTTTAGTTTTTTTTAACTAACTATTAAGAAGACCTCCAATGAACCAGAGAGAAACAGACTCTAAGTAATTTCTGATGGACTATATCATGGCTTTCTCTTCCTGGGTGGCCATTAGCCTCTGTCCAAAAAAAAAAAATCAATCAAAATGCTGCCACTGGGTCTTTCTAGTACATGTCTTCTGTTGGAAGGCTTCCATGGCCTCCAGCATATACAAACTCCTGGGAGCCTCCAATCCCACAGCCTCCTAGTTTGGAAAACACAGAGATTGTTAAAAAAAAAAAAAAAAAAAAAGCTTGGTGCAATGGAAGCCAATCACTCACTTTAGAGAGGAATCGATCTTTAACCCCTCTGTACAAGTTCATGCACAAACTGGGAGAATTTAGGGTTCGCACTCCTCTATGGTGATCCCACAACAAATTGATAAAAAGTAGATCTGAAAGCCTCCATGAAGCAGAGAATGCGCGTGCCCATGCTCATGAGAACAGATGAGCAAGCACCCGTTTAGGGACCCCAACTTTGCAAAGGATGGGTCCATTGCCTCCCTGATCCTCACAGCTCTTCCCCAGGACCCGTGTCCTACCTTCCCCATGCGCTGTGATATGGAAAGTTGCAGAGAAAACGGGTATCAAAGAAAGTACCACTCAATCAAGCAAGGCCCAGTACCTGTGCACACTGGTAAATAATTCTCTTACTCTCACAATTTGAGGCTCTCTCAATCATTTTCCTCTGTCCCGCTTCCTGTAGGACTTGAAGGATAGAAACCTTCCAAGGCCCCAGCTGACCTCTCCCAGAAAGCTTCCCATGCTTCCGTGCTTCTCACACGACCCTTAGCACAGGCTGAGAGCCAAGCATCAGTGTGAGCAGGTGTTCGGTCTCCTTCCCTCAAAACACTGTGATTAGCAGGGCACCTGTGGCTCATGCCTAACATCCTAGCTGCTCAGGATGCTGAGGACTAAGGATCAAAGTTCAAGGCCAGCCAAGGCAGAAAAGTCTATGAGACTCTTATGTCCACTTCACCAACAAAAAAGCCAAAAGTGGAGGTGTGTCCCAACTGTTAAGAGTGCCAGTCTGCCAGTCTTGAAAGAAAACAAACTAAGCAACAACACTGGTATAAGCCCCAGTATATTTATATTCATTCTCTCTCTCTCTTGGTCTCTCTGTCTCAGTCTCTGTCTCTGTCTCTGTCTCTCTCTCTGTCACTCTCTCTCTCTCATACACACACACACACACACACACACACACACCTGTAATGTTTGCTAAGTCAGATCTAGCACTTATGTAAGAACTCACAATGTAAATGCTCAGCAATTATTTGTTCAGTTAGGGCAATCAATGCATGCTCCTTCTGCTCCATCTACTCTTCCCAATGGACTGATTGGTGATGGGTGAGTGCTGATATTCTAGGCCCCACTCCACAGTCTCGTCCCATTCCTGGGACACCTAATGCCACTGGCCACATGGCTGATGTCCACCGAGGCCTGCCCTCAGGAGATGGGCCGGCTGGAGAAGATCCACAGCTTCTCCCGCGGTAAGGAGCAGCCTGCTGGCCACTGTAGCGGCCTGTGTCTTCTGAAGACCACTAACAAACAGAAGCAGAGTAGTACCGTGTGAGTACGATCTCTGGCAGGAGGAAGACTGACTTCTTTGACTGGTAAAATGACACCGTTATCTCCCATACTGCACCCCAAAGGCCCTCCTGGGTTCTGTCATCTTACTATGCAAAAACAGGCCCAAATTCTAGAGAATGACTTTGACTTCCTTCCGGAGATTCAAGTCTGTTCCTTATCCAATGTCAAAACAAGAAACAAAAAAGAAGGGAAAGAAGAGAAGG